TTATTATATCTCATTATGTAAGTTTTAAAATGTGCCTATTCCATCAATATTAAAACCATTTTGTCACACTCCGCAGATTATCCTTACCCTGACCTCTTCATGACCAATACTTTAATATCCTGTCACGTTAACTCCCAATCCCTTCTAGCACATGATGACGAATTCCTCGATTATTTTCACCATAACTTCCATCATATCATAGCCGTTTCAGAAACTTGGCTCAAACCTGATATTCCCTCTCTATCCGTTTCCTTACCCAACTATACCCTCTTCCGTCATGATCGAATGGAACGAACACGTGGAGGTGTGGGATTGTTCATACATGACAGTTTGGTCGCCAAAGTCCTTCTAAAATCTCCTCCTTCAGACGTCCCTAACATAGAATATCTGTTTGCCCAGGTTTCCTTTAGTACCTTTCCTCTACTCTTTATCGTTATTTACCGACCTCCTCATGTCCTATTCGATCCCACTCTCGAATCCTCCCTCCTTACATATATTACTCTCTACGAAAATATTATTATTGCTGGTGATCTCAACACCAACCTCCTTTCAAACACTCCGGACAGAACATATCTTACCGACCTAGTTTTTTCCTTAGATCTATTTATTGTACCCTTTCAACCCATCCATCACACCCAATCCACTGATACTTGGCTAGATTTATTTATTATTGATTCCTCACATAACCTATTATCCTCTACGCAAATTCCAGTTCCCTTCCTTTCATCACACGATCTTATTGAAATAACATACAACTTCTCTACTCCTTCACCTAAACCCAAACAAATTTTCTGGAGAGATCTAGATTCCTTAACCACTAAAAACATCAGCCCTTCCTCGATTCTCTTTCCACTTGCTTAGAACCCATCTATTCTCTCCCCTCCATCAATGATATGGTTGAATGCCTCTCCTCCAACCTCCTTGATTTTCTCAATTGTCACGCACCTCTAAAAACACGTGTCTTTAGACGTCCTCCCGCTCCTTGAATTAATACAGAAATAAGAGAACTAATAAGGAAAAGAGAAACTGCTAGAAGACGATACAGACGTACTAGACTAACTCAGCATTATTCCACATTTAAATCCCTACGAAATCTCACACAAATGACTCTACGTCGCGCCAAAGCCCAATACTTCAATAATGTTTTATCCCAAGAATCTAACCCTAAATTCAAATGGAAAATCCTTAAGAACCTCTCTGTTGTTACCTCGAAAACTTGGACACAGTATCCAATCGATCCCAACACGCTAAATTCTTTTTTCACTAACCATTTTCTATCCACATCTCCATCTGACCGCTCATCTTTTTCCATTACCGAAACCCCCTTTGATCCTGATAAGTTTTACTTTCTCGACATCTCTCCTACTGACTTGCTCTCTGCCACCCTTAAATCCAAAACAAACGATTATTGTCCTGACCAAATACCTGTTAAAGTTATCAAACTTTGCCTTCCAGCTTTACTACCCGCACTTCTACACATATATAATTTCTCTCTCCAAAATTTCATTTTTCTCAAATCCTGGAAAAGAGCCATAGTCCGTCCACTGAACAAAGTTCCAACTCCTTCATCAGCTTCCGACTTCAGACCCATCTCCATCCTATCCAATCTATCCAAGCCTCTAGAAAGATTAGTTCACTCTCAGTTGAACAGCTTTCTCGAGCAAAACCATCTCCTCAATCCCTTGCAATCTGGTTTCTGATCCCAGTATTCCACCCAGTCTGCCTTGCTAAGGATTACCCAAGACCTCCAATCTGCCATAGATAAACAGAAAATCTCCATCCTAATTCTTTTTGACTTTTCCAAGGCGTTTGATTCCATTAGTCATGAGATCCTTCTTTCCAAATTCCAAAGCCTGCCCATGTCAAATAGCCTCCTAAAATGGTTCCTATCCTTCTTATCCAATCGATCTCAGACAGTTACAATACCGAATAAACCTCCATCATCATCACTTTAATTAACACGAGGTGTTCCTCAGGGTTCCTCACTCTCCCCGACCCTTTTCTCCATCTATATTAGTGACCTTCCTAACGCCATTCAACACTCCAATTACCACCTATATGCCGATGATTTCCAAATATACCAATCATTCCAACCTTCTGAGATGCCTGAGGCTGCCCGGAGGCTACAAGAGGACATCGACTGCATCAACAGATGGGCAGAAATAAATGAATTAAAGCTGAATGCAGATAAAACCAAGGCTATTATCATCGGGTCCAGACATCTCATCAGCTCCCTTCCTTACTTTACCTCAATAACCATCCCATCTATTTTTTCCCTACAGTCAAAAACCTAGGAGTAACCTTTGACCAGAACCTCTCCTGGGATAATCATATCTCCCAGATTACCCGAAAATCCATAACTGCCCTTAAACAACTCCTAAGATTCCGTGATTGTATTCCTCTAAAAACCAGACAGCTCCTTGTAACCTCCCTTGTATTCCCCCACTTCGAGTACGGCTGCTTGGTGTATGGAGGGCTATCTGCCAGGCTGGAAATGAGACTAAAAAGACTCATGAATTGTTTCATAAGATACATTTTCGGGATCCCCAGGCGTTCACATGTTTCACTATGATACACCGAGTTGAAGTGGCTTTTTCCTACTTCCCGACGACAATTCCTTCTTGGCGTTTTCCTTTTCCAAGTCTTTAGAACCAAAAACCCTCCCTACATCCTGGAACTCCTTACTCTGCGCTCCTCTATCCACTCTCTCAATACTAGGTCTCAACCTATAGACTTATATATTCCCTCCCATAAAACTTCCTCCTTCAGCAAAGCATTCGTCATTCGTGCTGCTTCCTTATGGAACTCACTTCCTACCTCCATGCGTCAATCCTCATCCACAAATTCCTTCAAACAACTCCTGTTCTAACACCTACTCCACATCCAAACTTTCCCTAACATGTAAAATTACTTGCATCTATACAATGTTTAATTTCAATCCATTACACAATTGAAATAACAATTGACAATAAATTAGTTGGTATTTTTATTATGTCAGACTAAGATACATAAATTTGTAACTCTGTTATTCTTAGGGGACAGTAGTCCCAGAATAAAATTATTTTTTCATTTCATTTCATTATAATGGTAACGGGTGCGATGAGAACGACACCAACGGCCGCCATGGAGGTAATGTTGAACATGCCTCTGCTGCAGCTGGAGGTGGAGGCTCGGGCAACAAACACATTATACAGGCTAAGCAAGTCAACTTACTGCTCACCAGTCCCCTGTCAAGGAGGACACACAGTACTGCTGAATAGGATTGGATGTGACGGAGTGCTAGCCATGCACTCTGACACTCTAATCCGAGAATATCAGGACCGAAAATATAAGGTTGGGATAGACATCAGCAGACAACACAAACCAAATAATGGTATTAATTGCTATACAGATGGCTCTCTAACAGCCTTTGGCTCTGGAGCAGGCATCTATCGCAGAGACAATAAAGAAAAAATGTCTATACCACTTGGCAAATGTGCTTCAGTATTTCAATCTGAGATACTGGCAATCTGCCATTGCGCACAAAACCTACTGCGAAGCAATGTGACTGGGAAAAAAAAAGATTACCATCTATATCACCAGTCAGGCAGCAATAGGTGCTATTAACAACTACTATGTATATTCAAAGGTCGTTAAGGAATGCAACACAGCACTTAACGAACTAACTGAGCACAATAGAGTTGCTGTGGAGGGGGTGCCTGATCACGCTGGCATACCAGGCAACGAGAAGGCTGATGAACTAGCCAGATTGGGCTCAGATACCATTCCTGTAACTCCTGAGCCTGTCTGTGGAATCAGCCTCAGCACTGCCAAGGGCAGGATCAGGGAGATTTATGGGAAGAAATTTAGTAATTACTGGACTGACAAGAAACAGCGACATTCGAAGCTGTTCCTTAAAGGTCCATGTGAGAAAAGAAGCAAACTGCTACAGCAATCTATAGAGGTCACTGTAAGCTAAATTACCATATGTTCAATTTCCGAGTCATGACGAATCTGCTATGCAGATTCTGTCAGGAGAGGAATGAAACGGCCTTTCACATCGTGTGTAGATTTTTTTTTTTTTTTTCTGTTCTTCCCTACCTCGCCTTTTAGGCTATACGGGATTTTTCCGCCCAGGGGGTGAGGGCGAGGAATTTAAAATCCCCTCTGGCAACGGGACGTGAACTCGTACTTTTTAAATCATCTCAAATCTGTAATCCGGTTGCCAGGCAACTCGCGGTGTTGTGCACACGCTTTAGCCCATACGGCCACCCCGCCCCGCATCGTGTGTAGATGTGATAGATTCACAAAGCTGAGACTGGTAGTATTTGGAGAAGAACGAATGGATCTCCCCAGTAGCTATGAGTCGGTTGATGCAACCAGCCCACTTAGATACGCGGAAGCGACTAGAATAACATTTTAATTAAATACGACTAACTGAAATTGGCGCACAATGGACCCATTAGGGGTCGACATGCTCAGGGCCAACACTGATAAAAAAAAAATTTACCTTTAATACATAATTTCGGTTTTGTAAGACTTTTTGAGCTAGATTGTTCATATAGAGACATTCTTGTGATAATTGGTTAAATGGACTTATGGAAACTTGAAACATGTATTAGAAATTGCCTAGGAGAAATTGAATTAGAAATTTTTTACAAGCTCAGTGTTTTCCTTACTATATATTTAAAATATGAGTAAGTAATAAGTGTTTGTTACTCTTTAGAAATAATTATAGTGAATATAACCCAGTTTAGTATAGTCTGGCACAGATCAGTGTAGATAACCGCTTGGTTGTGGCACATATTATAAGAGATCTAATCTTGAGCTACAATGTTGGATATTTTTTCTCTTGGATATTGAAGTTGTGAATCAGTTTAAGGAAACAATGTTAAGGGAAAGGTTTATTACTGCTCTATTTCATTCCTGTGCTAACAACTATCACTTTGATAATAAAAGCCATTTTGTAGATTTATTCTTTCATTGATTAACTTATGTAAGTTTCTTCATGCTTTTTTTAGGTTCGTGATTATCACAAAAAATTTTATCGACCTGAAAATTTATATTTAATAATTGTTGGAAATATAAAACCTAGTCAAATTCTTGATGCTTTGAAACCTTTTGAAGAGAGAATATTATCAAAAGTAAGTTTTTAATTGTTTCATTTTTTTTCTTGGTAAAATTTTATTAAGTAATTAATCATTATTAATGTTTTAGAAGTAATTTAAGTTGTACTGAAAAAATAATTATTTTCACATTTTATTTCAATGTATAATTTTGTTGCCCTATATATTTGTATTTCATGTCGTTACGATTTAGATGATATACTGTTGTGATCTATTATTTTTGAGGTGAAAAATTGTTGCATCATAGCAAATAAGAATATCTCCATTAGATTCCTAGGCGCAGACTTTTGATTTTGATTGTGGGGCGATGGATTAAAAAAAATGGCAGGAGTTTTTATCATGTGTGAAAATTAAACATAATTATTGTGAAACGAACCAATATAATATATATATATTTTTTTTATATGTTTGTATAGTTTTAAGAATTTTTTTTTTTGTTTTACTTATTATATATACTTGAAAATAACTAAAATAAAATACAATTGAATATATCACTTATTTGTTTAGATTAAACACAGGGGGAGGGGGAGAGAGAAAACAGCTTTTGGTACATTTCTAGAACTTTTTCAGATAAAAATGAATGATGTAAAAAAGTAAAACATATTTTTGATTTCTTAGTGTGTACAACCTCAAATAAAAATAAATGTTTTTCACAGTCCAACTAGTTTGCCACAGAAAATGTGAATATCACATGAAAATTGAGGGGTGATTGAATTATAACATCCTAGGATATGTTGATATCAAGGGTGTCCGTAAGTAGAGAGAAATATTTAAACAGGTAATGGTAGACCTCAAGAGCTATAAAAAAAGTTTATACAAACAATGGTCCGATTTTTGGCAGAATAGTAGGAACTTTAAGTTTTGTGTTTTTTTAAAAGCAAGTCATGGTTTTTAATGAATAAGAAGTGATTAATTAAAAAATTATGCACTGTAAACTAGACAAAATTTACTTCAAAGGAAAGTGGTGTTTATCATTGTTAAAACCATTTAAAGAGTTGATTAACTAAGATAAGATATGATTTTTTTAAAAACAGAACTTTTTCGACACCTTTTTTAGACACCTTCACTTTTTCGAGGAAAACTTTCTTGTTTAGTAAACTTTAAGTCCATCATAATTAAGTTGAGGTTTTATTATGGAATAAGTTGAAATCCACCTCAAGTTGTGTAAAAAAATGATGTTTTGATATCTTGTCACCTTAAAGTACCTGTGTTTTCAGCAAAAATGAATACAATAAATTATTGCAAAGCCTTGAATTAAACATAAATTTGTAAATAAACTTTTTATTTATTACAAAATAAGTGTTAAAGATAATTATTTTTCAAATATTTATTATTTGAAATGATAATGAAACTATTTTTTATTACGCTGTGTATTATATAAATTGATCTCTGTTTATAAGTGATCAATTAAATGTTACCAATCCTAATATTTATGATTTCAAGCATTTAGCACGCTTTTTTACTTCACATGTAGTTTGAAATCATAAGAATTGGAAATGTTTAATTGGTGACTTATAAATACGGATCAATTTCTATAATACAGATCATAATAAAAAAAATCAGTTTTACTGTAATAAATAAAAACTGTATTTATTAATTTATTTTTATGATAACAGGTAATAGGAAAAAATAAATTAAAGCTTTGCAATAATGTAGTTATTTTTGTTCAAAACAGGGGTACTTTAAGGTGACAGGATATCAAAACACTTCATTTTTTTTCACAACTTTATATGAAGCTCAACTTTTTTGTAATAAACCCAGAACTTAATTAATATATAGTGGGCGGGGTGGTCGAATGGGCCATGTGTGCACAGCACCGCTGATGCCTGGCAACCTGATATATCAATCAAATGATATAAAAATAGTCATGAGTTCGTGTCCCGGTGAAGAGGAAGTCTTTTAAATCCCCGCCCACACTCCCTGGCCTGGGAAAACCCCGTATAGCCTTAACAGCGAGGAAGGGGAGGACCCCCCCCCCCCAAAAAAAAAAAACTTAATTAATATGGACTTAAAGCTTCTTAAGCAAGAAAGTTTTTCTAAAAGTAAAGTGTCTTTAGTATAGTTGGATGGTGATAAATAAAAATCACAAAGCATTCATGATTTTTTTATATCAAAACATAGCTTAGTTTATTCATTCAAAAGTCCTCTTTAAATGGTTTTAACAATAACAACTTTATTTTCGTTTGAAGCAAATTTTCTCTACTTTACAGTGAAGCAATTGTTAATTAATTATATTAACTATTGTTTTAGTTATCACTTCCTATTCATCAAAAACCATGACTTACTTAAAATAACAGAAAACTTAAATTGCCTACTATTCTACCGAAAATCTGACTATTATTTATATGAAGTTTTGTTAGCTCTAGAGGCCTAGTATTACCTGTTTAAATATTTTACTCTACTAACTAGAAATGTGTATATTATTATCTTTGAATATAAATGACAATTTAAATAAAAGTAATATTTAGGTATCAATAAATTTGTTACATACCTACTACTTGGCCCTAGCTTAGCTAGCCAGTCAAATTTTCTTAATCGATTTTAGTTTACACGTTTTATTCATTCATTTAGCTTATTTATTATTGATTTTAATTTTTTTTGCCTCAAATTATTGGGGGAGCAAAACGATATTCTCACCCCCTCAAAATTTTTATTGGGGGCGGGAGAGGTGATCGCCCCCTTCTCCCTCTCCCCGTAGTCTACACCTATGATTAGATTAATTTGTCATATCATATAAGTCTGGAGGACTCAATAATACTGAATATTTTCTAGAATTTATGATATGATTGAGAAGGTTCTTGAAAAAAAAAAGCTCAGCAGTTTTCTTGGATTCTGTGCAGGTATTCGATGAAGTATTTAAACTGCATGAAGATCTCTCAAAAGAACTTTATCTGTTAGCTATTAAAATCATATATTACTTACAGACAATTAAGGATAAGAAATAATGAATGGATAATCAACCTTACAGAGAATAAGTGCTTGTGTTCCCCTGGGTAGCATGCTGGACCCATTCTATACTTGCCAAGATTCCCAAGAAGACACTTAGGATTTGCCAAACAAGAAAGAAATAATAGTAGTGGTGACATTTGCCGATGCTTCTATGAAACTGCTTTATTGGAGGTCTAGGAAACTACATAAGAACTCCAGAATAAAAACAGATTTTACTGTTAAGAAGAATTTACATTTATTATTTTTTTTTTTGTATTTTTTCTAAAAGGGTTTGTTTATATTTTACCATTGTACATAGTTTTAAGTATCTTAGTATGGTTTCGAGAGTTTTTTATATAGATTATTTTATTTTATTTTGTATATATTATGTATAACTAATATTTTTTTTTGTTTTTTTTACTGATTTATCTTTATCTTTACTTTTTATGTTTGTTTTTATCTGGCCAGATGTAAAATTTTAATTTCTGTACTTTTTTGTTATTCTGAAGGGACTTCGTCCCAGAATAAAATTATTTTCTATTCTATTCTAAAACATGGTAGTATGTGATTGGAATAAATACTGGAGAATCAAAATAATTAAGTCGAAACTGTACACATAATTTTCACTAAAAGAAAAATAGACTGGCAATTGGTTTACATTAACACACAGGAAGTTCCTAATTCAATTGCAGATAAATATCTAAAAATGACACTAGATGCAAGACTGAACTGGAAAGAATACTTGAAAAAGTAGAAAGAAGAACTCATTTTAAAATCCAAGGGAATGTGGTTGCTGGATAGAGCAACTAGCAGTTCTTCTAAATCATATCAATAACTTTTATATTTTACACTTTCATAATAAATAAATTAAGGAAAACTCCGAAACATTTTTATTTTATATCTCTAGGTCTAATTTGTTTATGAGGGAGGGGTTCTGGTTTTTACTGTTTTGTGCAGTTTATAGTGCCCCAAATCTAGTAAGTGAAGTTGTGTAAAAGGTATCAAAAATCTAGTTTAAAAAAAACCATTTCTAGTTCATCGAATTTTTTAAACAATTCTTGAAAAGTCAGGAATTGATATCATTGGTAGACACTATAAGACAGAAAAAAAAAGCCATTTTCCTTGGTGCTCTAATTTCTTGTGTTGATAGTTATTTCAGAAAATTAGGAGGGAGAGGTTGGATCAATTCATATTATTTTTATATTAATATTTATTTTTAATGAATTCTAAACAAATTCATTTCTTTTAAAATCTTTTTATCCCTTGAAAATTTTTCAGAGTTTACTTATTGGGATCGCTCTACATCCTGGTATCAGCTTAAAGTAAATTTCAATTATTATGTATTTATTTTAATATTTATTAACCTACTGTTAATTAATTAATAAAAAATCTATACGACACAATATTTTTGTTAACTGTAATTGTTTTTGTTGATAGGATTATATTTTATTATTTGTTTGCAATAGGGCACTAGACAAGATGCTTTCATTCGACCATGGCAGACTCCAGTTTTGCCTCTTACTTCATCTATTGATATAAATGTTCCTTATCCGAATGATGAAGAAGATATTGGATTGGTATATATGGGATGGAGGGGACCATCTGCTGTAAATGATTTTTATAGGTATTATTTCTTTATATTGAACTTGAATATCAATTATTAATGTTAAATGATCTAATTAATAAAATTAATTTATTAATTAAATAATCTATGTTAGAGTACATTTTTTGTTATGAAGATGCTAATCATGAATATATTACTGAATTTGGCACAAATTTATTAAAAATTGCCATCAATTTTTTTTTAGGAATTTATTACGGGTTGTGGTCAATATATAATACTGCCTCTCTTTTATATAAAAAAGTTTTTACCGACCATGACACATTTTATTTTACATTGACACTAGCAGGAGGGATTGTAATGAAGACACCACACTTCTTTTTCTTAGAATTATTTCTCCCTTTTTTTGGTTACAAATTAACAATAATTATGATTTATGATAAACAACCACATTTATTTGTGAATTTTTGAATAATTATTATATTTAATCTATATATGATAATGTATTTATCAAAACCATTTTTTTATAATTTATGATAAACAACCATATTTACGTTATTCATATTTACTTGTGAAATTGTTTAATAATTGTTATATTTAATCTATATATGATTATTTATTTATCAAAACCATTTTTTAATCTCATAGTCTTTTAATTTTACATTTCAAACATTTAAAAATTAGCATTTTCTAATGTTTCGGCTCCAAGAGCCATTTTGAAAAAATTCTTTTTCTTTCTTAAAAAAATAACAAAAAACATTAGTCCTATAAAAACGTTATTTCTAAAAAAATTATTAAACTATAAAATACTTCTCAATGGTATTAATTGTTTAATTAAATATAATATATTATGTTTTATTTTTCTTCCAAAATTTCTCTTCTCATTTCATCAAAAACTTCATCCTGTCATTTAGAAACTCCTTTCTAATGTAATAATTTAAAACAAAACTTTAATAAATCCAAAAACATTATTTCATTTTACAAATCTTTTTTGCGCAACATTTATTTAATGACTGAAAAAAAAACATGACAAAAACCAGGAATAAAAATAAGAAATAAAAAACTTTTTTCTTTAGTTACTTTCCTTTTTGATCACCTTCATTTTATCTCTACTGAGCTGCAGTTTAGGCTGACTTACCCAACATACTGAGGTGCCCTATTGTGTTTAATTTCAATGTATTTTGTTTTTCAATTTATTTATTTGTTTGTAAAATTAAAAGACTGAGATTAAAAAAGGGTTTTGATAAATAAATAATCATATATAGATTAAATATAATAGTATAAATTGGCGATTTTTAAAGAAATTAAAAATATGTTCGATCTGTAGTTTCATTCCATATTATTTTATGTTGATAAAAAATAATACTATCTGAACTACAGAATACTTTTAAATTAAAGTTATACAATTTGAGCAATGAGTTATACAATTAAATAAACAGTTGTATAATTTGTAAAATGGGGGTTAGTCTGGCATTAGGCGGACAGGGGTTCCTCCGGTGATATATTATAATAATATTTTATTGAATTTGCTAACATTTCGACCTATATTGTAGGTCTTCATCAGAAATAACAAAGATGCAAACTATAAATATTAAAAGGTAAAAAAAATAAATGAATTATCATTAAACATAACTATTTATCTCGATATACATATATTAATGATTGAACAGTAGATATATCTAATATTTATAGTTTGTATCTTTTTTAGCCCTGATGAAGACCTACAACGTAAATCGAAACATCTGCAAATCCAATAAAATACTCTTGTAATATATAGTCTTGTATATTGATCACACCCTCTGACCAACTCTATCTCTAATTATAATCACATCAACCATTACCAGACCATTATAAATATTTTACAAAAGCTACAATTTGAAGAGGTTCATGATTTATTTAAGAAAAAAATTAAGGACAAATTAGAGAAATTGAAAAGAACAGAGTCAATTGAAGAGAACTGGTGTGCATTAAAAGGCATCTTGAAGATTGTGGCATCTGAGGTCCTTGTTTGGAGACAGCAGAAAAGAAGAAATGACTGGTATGACAAGGAATGTGAAAAATCAATCAAAGAAATAAATGATGCCAGAATGAAATTGATACAAAGAGTAACGAGAACCTCAGCAGAGAGCTATAAAATGGAAAGAGCAAAGGTAAGAAAACTATATAGATAGCTAAGGAGAAAGGGAAACCAGAGCAGATAGAGGAAGTATTGAATAAAGAGATCAGTAGGAAGTTTTACTTGTGATAAAAGATATATAGGATTTTGCACCAAAGCCTGCATTTTAAATGGATAAAAAAGGAAAATTACTGGAAAATAGTAAAGAAGTTTTAGAAAGGTGGACAAAATATTCTAGGACTTATTGAATATTAACATTAAACATAAACAAATCTACATACAATTCCAAAAAATAAATAAATAAAATAAAATAAAAATAAACAAATTCTTAGCACAAGAAAATGGTGTACATAGAGAGAATAGTTATGAGTGGAGGTTAAGAAGTGACAATAACACTAAGCTTGAAAAGTGGACAGAAATATCCTCAATATGTTTTTCTCTTTGATCTGAACATCCTCATCTATTTGATTGACAGTAGATAATAAACTCTTTTCTGGATCTTAAATGTTTCCAAGAGATATCTGTTCATGGCACATCGAATCCGTCATCACTTTGATGCCTCTTGACTTGGATTTCAAGAAGCTCCCTCCTGATAGCTCCCTGGAGCTAGCATGTGAAACCTAATCAATTCCACGTTGGTGATAAGAATGAGTGCATTCAATACCGGACACTTTATTTATTAGTGAAATTAAAAACCGTGATGTACTAATTTACTTTAGATAGCTCTGGGAGAACACTAAGGAGCCTGAAAATCACCATGAGAAACTACAAGCCTAATTCAAATACTTAATCAATAGTAATGACCCTTCAGGTAATAGAGCATATGCTTGTAATAACAGTAAAATATATACACTGACAGGCAAAATATTCCACCCACTTGTCCACACCATTAAGGAACCACTTTGGAAAGGTTGGCTCTCGGAAATATTACAGGCTGCATATCTTTTGTTTATTCTTCTCCACACCCTTTCACGCCCGTCTGGAGATCGAAGAGCGAATCTTGACTCATCTGTAAAAAGTACAGCACTCCATTCGTCCATAGTCCAATGGCTGTGTTCTCGAGCAAAAGCCAGCCGTGTTACTCTGTGAGTTAGGGTCAACTCTGGTCCTCTTACTGGACGAAAAGCCATTAATCCATACTCATTTAATCTTCTCTGAGCAGTAAGTTCAGAAATTTGCACACCTCGAACTTCTTCGAGCTGATGAATCACTTGAACAACGATAAGGTGCCGGTCTCGTGAAATTCTCAAAGTCAAAAACCGGTCATCCCGTGGTTCTGTTACCCTAGGCCGTCCAGAACCGGACCTTTTGTTCCCCGAACCAGTTTCCCGAAAACGCCTGACGGCGTCTCGTAAAGTTTCATATGGAACTCCGATGGCATTAGCTGCATATCTAATGGAACGTCCATCATCAATAAGTGCCACACCACGCGCAACATCCTCAGCATTAAGAGGCAGTTTTAAACTTAATATGGAAAAAATTAAAAGCTGGAGACTAAGAAATGTGCTACAAGAAACGGCACTGAACAAATGATACTGAATAAACATTTTGATTTCATAGAAAGTAAACATTGGAATCTAGAATCATTTCATTGAATTAAGGATTAAGGGTTATTGTCCTCTATATTAACATTACTAATTGAAAACAAACAAAAAGATTACCTATTTATTCATTAAAAACAATAGACCAATCCAAAGCAGAAATATTTTTAGATAAAAACATGAAAAAATCAAGTGGGTGGAATTTTTTGCCTGTCAGTGTAATTTAATTACATACAGTCCACTTTTTCATTTCTTAAATATGTTACTTCAATATCCAAGCTTAGGTGTGCCATATCCTTAGAAATGGAAGACATACTTAAACAGTATCCTCCATATCAAAGAGAGGGTTCTTAAAGTTGGTCACTAGTATCCAGTCCTGGTGATATTTCAACTGTTTACCTATTAGTAATATGTAGTTTATTTGTAATTAATAATGCGTTATGAAATTCTTAAATTGGATATTGTGGAAAATACAGCCTAATTATGATAAGCAATAAAATTAATTGGTTTTGTTTGATGTTTACTAGGATGACTGCATGTTCTATTTTACTCAAGTACTTGACAGACACTACTGTCAGTCCTCTTCCCAAAGAATTTGTTGATGTTCCAGATCCCTATGCTAGCAAGGTATTGACTATTTGGTTAGAACATAATAATTTGTTTTACTTCATTAAAAAAAAAAAAAAAAAAAATATATATATAATATATATATATATATATATATATATATATATATATATATATACGCACATTGCTATCAATTATTATTATTAACCATTTCATTTAAATATTTTTATGAAATGAAAAAAATAATTTTATTCTGGGACTAAAGTCCCCTAAGAATAATAACAGTGTTACAGATTTATGGATATTAGTCTGGCTTAAAATAATAAAAAATACAAACTAATTAACTGCTTTTTGTTATTGCAATTGTGCAGTAGTTGAAATTAAACAGTATACAGATAAAAGTAATTTTATATATTAGCGGAAGTTTGAATGAGGAGTAGGTGGAGTTGTTTGAAGGAATTTGTGGACGAGGATTGACGTTTGGAGGTAGGAAGAGAGTTCCAAAAGGAGGTAGCACGAATGACAAGGATTTGTTGAAGGAAGTATTTTTATGGGAGTTGATATATAAATCTATGGGTTGAAACCTAGTATTAAGAGAGTGGATAGTGGAGCGTAGAATTAGGAGTTCCAGGATGTAGGGAGGGCTGGAGAGGTTCTGGTCAAAGGTTACTCCTAGGTTTTTGACTGTAGAGAAAAATGGATGGGACGGTTATTGAGGTACAGTAGAGGAAAGTAAGGAAGGGATCTAATGAAATGTCTGGACCTGATGAGAATTGCCTTAGGTTTATCTGAATTCAGCTTTAATTCATTTATTTCTGCCCATCTGTTGATGCAGTCGATATCCTCTTGTAGCTTCCGGGCAGCCTAAGACATCTCAGAAGGTTGGAATGATTGGTAAATTTGGAAATCATCAGCATATAGGTGGTAGCAGAAGTGTTGAATGGTGTCAGGAAGGTTACTAATATAAATAGAGAAAAGGGTCGCGGAGAGTGTTCGGAATTGCAAATTTCTGAGATCGATTAGATAAGAAGGAGAGGAACCACTTAAGGATGCTTTTTGATATGGGCAGGCTTTGGAGTTTGGAAAGAAGGATCTCATGATTGACGGAATCAAACGCTTTGGAAAAGTTAAAAAGGATTAGGATGAAGATTTTTTGTTTATCTATGGCGAATTGGAGGTCTTGGGTACTCCTTAACGAGGCAGACTGAGTGGAATAATGGGAACGGAAACCAGATCGTAAAGGATTGAGGAGATGGCTTTGCTCGAGAAAGCTGTTCTAAATTATGGAATGATGCTGAGGTAATCGAGTACGTCTGTACTGTCTTCTAGCAGCCTCTCTTCTCTTCATTAGTTCTCTTATTTCAGTATTGATCCAAGGAATGGGAGAACGTCTAATGATACGTGTTTTTAGAGGTGTGTGACGATTGAGAAAATCGAGGAAGTTGGAGGAAAGGCATTCAATCATGTCATCGATGGAGGGGAGAGAATAAATGGGTTCTAAAGAAGCGGTAAGGGAAACAAGAAAAGGGCTCATGTTTTCAGTGGTTAAGGAATCAAGATCTCTTCAGGAAATTTGTTTAGGTTTAGGTGTAGGGGTAGAGATATTGTATGATATTTCAATAAGATTGTGGGATGAAAGGAAGGATACTGGAATTTGCGTAGTGGTTAATAGATTATATGGAGAATTAATAATAAATAAGTCTAGCCAATTATCAGTGGATTGAGTGTGATGGGTGGATTGCAAGGGTACAATGAATAGGTCTAAGGAAAAAAATAGGTCGATAAGATATGTTCTGTCCAGAGTATTTGAAAGGATGTTGGTGTTGAGATCACCTGCAATAATAATATTTTCAAAGAGAGTAATATATGTAAGAAGGGAGGATTCAAAAGTGGGATCAAATTGGACACAAGAAAGGCGGTAAATAACGGTGAAGAATAAGGGAAAGATAAAGGAGGAAACTTGGATAAACAGATATTCTATGTTTGGTAGGTCGGAAGAAGGAGATTTTAGAAGGACTTTGGTCGTCAGACTGTCATGAACGAACAATCCCACACCTCCGCCTGTTCGGTCGATTCGATCATGACGAAAGAGGTTATAGTTGAGTAAGGAAACAGATAAAGAGGGTTTATCAGGTTGAGCCAAGTTTCAGAAACCGCAATGGTATGATGGAAGTTATGGTGAAAATAATCGAGGAATTCGTCATAATGTGCTAGAAGGGATTGGGATATTAAGTTATTAGTCATGAAGGGATCAAGGTAAGGACAACCTGTAGAGTGTGTAAAAATGGTGTTAATATTGATGGAGAAAGCACATTTTTAAACATACGTAATGAAATGTTGTAAAAAATGATATATAATATTGATGTAAATCTTGCTTGATATTTTTAAACGAGAGTGAACATAAAAAAAGAAAAATCTAATTCGAAGTAGAAAAAAGAAGTTTCATCTCTCAAAAAAATAATTTAAAAGTAATACAATAAATGCGTATGAACTATAGGAATAAAAAATTATAATAAACAAGTTTAAAAAATAAAGTGAAAATTAAAGGCATTCATAGCAAGGAGGTTTGAAGAAACAGTGAGACGAGACCTATTTCATCCCAGCGATTCAATATCTTCCTATTTGTTGACAATGGTGACAGGGGATCCATCCTATCTTCTGTATCGAACTTTTTCTCTGGCGAATCACACGTACTTCAGCATATCTATACCTGACACCCTTTTCTGCCTTGCCAACCAGTATGTTTATTTACCTGGACTCATTTGTTTGCCCAGATAAATCCTCTTGTCAGATGGCCCAGATTCCTTGTGGAAAAGTCTCTCTTGACCTTGCGTAAACGGATGACTGGCGGACGAACCGCACGACAATTGGCGGTGGCCGGGGGTCCTCTTTTCTGGTCCTTTTCCTTTCTAGAGTCTAGTTCTTCAACAACCAGCTTTATGCCTAGAGCTGCACCAATAGAGCACACCAAGCCCTAAGTAGACTCTCCAGCATTGGGTGTGATACCTCGTATCAAGGGAATTGGATAGCTGAGCTTGTTCAGCTTGGTTAATCCTCACCTCTAGGGTAGTTATCTGACATTTTAACTGTTTATTTTCACTGATGAAATCTTTTATAATTTTCTCTTGTTGTAATGTTAGCTTTTATATTTTTTTAAGTCTCATTATTTTCAAAAGCGAGATCGCTTTGCTTTCCGAGCAAGACTTTAACTTTCTTAATATCCTCAGCGATCTTTTTTACCTCAGCCAAAATAGAGGTGTTGCTCTCTTCTGACGTATCCACGGCCGATGTACCTTGTTTACTATGTGGTTTTGTACATGTCGTACAGAACCAATTTTTTTTCCAATTGCTGCGATGCATCAGTATCAGTGACGTTTATAAATTTTTTATGATGTGTTAATTTATGCGTAGTGCTAACTAATGTAGATTTATCGTCTCTAGCGACGGTATTGTTGCGTTTAGGACTTCGTCAAGCTAAGTCATCGTGAGCCATCGATTCATCGATTGACTGGATAATAGAATCCTGTAGAGATGGTGGGGAGTGGTAGACGTAGTGGGGTTAAGCGCCTTATCTTATGCTCGCTATCTCACCAAAACTTTAAAGTGTTTTCTTACCTTGTAATGTTTATTAAGTATTAATAGTTTAATTCAACAGTTAATATTAATCTCTAAAGCAATTGATATTAAGGGCACTGCATATATTTTAGTAAAGGTGAACAAAACTATAATAGCACCACTTAAGATTTTACACAATTAAGAAGAACATTGACGCTATCTATTTAAAGACTAGGGCCAGACTGGCCAGAAATATTTTCATTGATCTATTTGCTGAAGAATGTTGGTTTACTGATACGAATACTACATCTGCCTGGTTACACAATTAAGTTTCTTGATTAAACTTCGGAGGAGGAGCCTCTTTTTTCTATTTTCAATTCCCTATATATGAAATTTATAGTAAGGGAAAATATTGCAATCATGAAAATTTTCGAATCTGAGTTTTCAACGGAAATATACGTTTTGAGGTTCCTTGAGTCCAAATCACACAAAATGGTCCTAAAAAAACACAATCTCCACAAAATGATCTATGTGTGAACAGTCTAGCTCAAAAATGAAAAGTTGTAAAGAACTGAAATTCGGTCTTCAAAATTTTTACATGCCTGGGATGTTACTGCAACTTTTTCATCAAAATCCAAGAAAAGAAAGTCCATTTTACATGTTTTTACAATCTTTCTGAAAACAGCTCAACAATTTTGATTAAACTCAGTGTATCAATGTATGATTCAGGTGTCTTTGATATCATTTAATTCTTATTCTCATTGATGTCACTTAACAGGGCTTAAATGCAAATGTTCAAAATTTCTTTCTCTAAAGTATTTTTAATTTGATTTATTTTAAATAGTTAACCATCTCTCATTTTTAGCAGTTATGAAAAAAGGTTAAATATAACTTTTGAAAGAATTTAATAATTGAATAAAGGATAACAAAGAAAAAAGTTTATTTAGGTCGAAAATGAATCTCCGGAAACAGTAGTCGAAAGGTATATCTTTAATTCATTGTTAGAAAGCTGAAAATTTTAGAAAAAACAATATCTAATATAAAAAGTTGTAGAAGGTAATGGAGAGTGACAAAAAAACTAAAAATAATAATATCTGAAAACTAAAAAAAATTATTATTTAATCGGTGAGAAGAAAATGTTAGAACAAATAGTGAGTGTCTACAACTAGACAAAAACAAGAAAATAATAGAGCAAGAGGAAGTTGTAGAAGTTGGATACAATACCGAGGAAGATTCACTGCAGAACAAGGTGAGTGAAATATAAATGGACAGTTCGAAAGTGCGCCAAGATTAGACCCAGAGAAATGAATGGAAATTCATAAATAAGTTATATAAAATTAATGTATGCCTTTATATTATACATTTGAGGAATGTGTATAAGTTGTCTCAACCCAACCTGGGAATTAATTATTGTGTAAAATAAATATTATTTTATTAACAAACTATTTTTTTTACTTTTCGAAGGAAACGTAACCTAACAATATATATATATATATATATATATATATATATATATATATATATATATATATTTAAAATCCATGAATAAAAACAATGGTATTGTTTAAAAATTTGGTGTGCTCAACACACAACTTTCACTTACCTCTCAACTTTGATTTATGTTGGGCTATTATAAAAATTTTTAACTTCTTATTTTTCTTTTTTTAGGAAGCCTACATTTATATATTTTTTCATAATTAAGGCAAAAAAACTTCCAATTTCCTTCAAATCTTTTTTTTTACAGTTATCACCTCTAATGTTTCGTGACAATTTTCCCATCATCAGAGCAATCCTTATATACACTGAAACTATGCACATTTTTAAATATTCTATTTTTACAATACCAATCAACTTCATCCATTGTACAATTATTTACCTTGCTTTTTTGATGTGGCACCATTTGTCACGTTCATTATATATTTATTTGGTGTTACACATCCTTTTTTTATTCATTGTTACACTAACCGACTTCTGGCTATCTTCAATATCATTACTGTACTTTGTACTCGTCCTCCTATTTCTTATTATGGCTGCTTGTGTTTTTTTGTCTATTGTTGTTTTTTGAATTTCAATATCAGATATTATGTCCGAATAGTGTGTACCCAAGTGTTATGTATCTGTTTTATAGTTTACTGTTCTGTTATTGTTTTTTGTTATATGCATGGCTTCCAGCAGTTTCCTATTGTTTGATTTTGGTTCTATTGCTAATATGTGTGGGTTTTTGAAGTCAAATATATGTAGTGATTTAATCCTGTGCTACGGCTGTTATTTTGATGTTTTTACTATTTTTGCACTTTGATGTATGTTGTGATATTCTGGTTTTTAATTTTTTTGATGTTTCGCCTGTCGTATATATTTGTTGACAGTGTTGGCTTTCTAACTTATAAAAAACATTTTTCTTGTCCAGTGTTTCTATTTTTTCTTTTGTGTTTGTCAAGTATTTACCTAATTTTTTGTCATTATATATGCCAAACTGAATTTCTGGCAGGTCATAGTTCATGAATACTGTTTTGATTTGTTTTGTCAGTTGTGGTATGTATGTCATTTTTTTTTTTAGTTCTTTTATTATATATTTTGTTTACTTGTGGATTATTGTTTTGGATGTTGTCATTTGTTATGTCTGTCTGCTTGAAATACTGTGTAATAAATTGTTGTTTAGGCTTTGTTTGTTGTCCGATATTATTTATTGGTGTTTCTTGTTTTTGTTCCAATTTGTTATGTGTATTTTGTTGTGTGATCTGCTGAACCATAGTTTATGTATTAGTTTGATAGGGTAGAAATTTTCTGTTAGTATTTTGTATATTTCAATTTTTATTTTTGAAATGTAAGTTTGATCAGTTAATGTTATAGCTTTGTTTATAAGGTTTCGGGCTGTGTTTATTATTTGGTGTTTGGGGTGGTTGGAGGTGAAATTGAGTATTTTATTGCTTGCTTGTTCTTTCTTTATCCATTTTGTCAGTTGCTGTCCTTTCAAAATCATGTCCATGTCTAAGAATCTTATTTTATTGTCTATTGTTTTTTCTAATGTGAAATTTATTCTTTTATTGTATTTGTTTATTTCAATTGTGGTATTTCTTTTGATTATTACGAATAAATCATCTATGTAATTTTTTTTATTAGGATTGGTTTATTTTTTAATTTTGTGATATGTATTTTCATCAATTTGTTTAGATATATTTGGATGGGTGGATAATGTTGAACCCATGGCCACCCCCCATAGTTGTTTGTAGTATTGATGATTTATTGTATTATGATAAATGGGAATAAAGGGATTTGAAGGAAATTGGAAGTTTTTTTGCCTTAATTATGAAAAAAAAAAATGTAAGTGCATTTTTAACTGAGCTAAAGCTTAAAGCTTACAGTTAACAAATCATTATGGATTGTACGATCCATTGATTATGGATTGTACAACTATTAGCTATTAAACTATTATTTTCCATTGCAAAGTTTACTAAAATGGAATTAAGAGATTTGCATTGTCGGTCATAGACAGGTCAAAAGTTGTCACACTAATTGGAAGTGGATACTGTTGGAATATCACAAAGGAAAATTCATCAAATTATTCACTAATTTAATTTTCTAAAAGGTTACATGATGATTTTTCGGAATAAACGGACGATAGATACCTAATTATTTAAATATAATATCAGATCTAGAGTTATTAAACTACAGTAAATATATTTAAGGTTATAAACATATCCATGAAATATTTTATATTTCACTTCTTCTTTCACACAAGTACAATGAAATAGTATCTTAAACAGTGTCATTGCCTTGAATCCGTGGATTTTAAATACTTTTTCAAACTTAAAAAAAGATGTTAAAAGTTTACATTTAGTAAGAAAATTTCATTTAATTTCCTTGAAAACATGCGATTCACGTTAAATAATGTTAGTTTTTATAAATTTTTTTTTTTTTCGCCACTCTTCTAAAATTTTCTACATTAGATAATTTTTTTTTTTTTAATTCTCCCCTTTCCAACTATATATTAAATGAATACTTTCTGACTATTATTTCCGAATATTCCTTTTTGGTCTGGATATGTATTTTTTCATGGCACTTGGTTACATTTAGTTTAGGCTGTTTGTTATAATTTAAAAAAAGTATATATTATGATTTATTTTAATTTTATTTTGCTTAGATTACTTAAATAAACAAATAGGGACCTATGACAATTTTATTTACAATTTTTTTTTGGAGGGCATCAGCCCAAAAGATTCCTCTCACCTTCCCACCCATAGGTCTGCCATTGGATCAAACTATTGAAGAAACTTAAGTTGTGTCAACTCGTTTTGACAAGAAAAAAGATCAAATAGTTTGAAATCATGCATTCTCCTCCTGTTTAGTAAATATACTATTTTTCGAAACATACTATGCTTCGGAACTTGTGGAACATTAGCAAACTACAACGGTTTTTGAAGTAAACTGGCAAAGTATTTAGAGTAAGATTATGTGCAAAAAATCTGATATATTGTCCAGATTCAGTCCGGAAATGCGAATAAAGATGTCATAATATTATACTTATTATCTAGAATATACAAATCCAAACCCTATTAAATATTTTTTTAGGGATAAATAAAGTTGATATATGTTTTTCACACCTTGGAAAATATTTAGATAAGAATTTTCATTGCAATTGAAGTATGAAAAATGTTTGTCTTTTATTAATAGTTGTTTTGAGATCCATATACGTTTATAAATTTATTCTAGATATTATATCTGTTAAATACAGAGAAATATTGGGCAAAATATTTCTATTTTTCAATTGCAATGAAAGTTTTTTCAATATTTTGTCGGGTATAATATCCTTCTCAAGGTGGGAAAAAGAATATCAACTTTATGGATGAATTATGAAATCTAGTTTACAATAATTGTTTGGCTCCTTTCTATTTCACAGAACTGTGAATAGTATTGATTTATAAGAAAAAAATTAACATTGTATTGTTTGAATTATTTATTCATGGTCTTATATTTAATTACTTTTCAGGTTTGGTTTTCAATGAGTGAAAACTCGGAATCTTTACTTCTGTTAAATTTTGATAATGTTCCTATTGGAAAAATTCACCAGGTAAAGCCAAAGTTAGATAGTGTTTTGTCTTCCATTCTTAATTCTGAAAAGCCAATTGATATGAAAAGGCTCTCAACTGTAATTAATCGTTATAAGTTGGAAATTTTATCAAATTTAGAAAATTCTCCCCATGACTGTATTGCATTCATGGTGATTGGTTATGTTCTTTATGGAAACACACCTGAAGATGTAAGTATTTACAAAATATATGAATATATTTATAGTGTTTTTAGTGTATAACTGAAGCAGGGCCAGCTAAAGGTAAAGGCTTGGCCCTGCCAATCATGTAACATTAGTGTAGCTAAGGTAGGACCGTCTCGTGGGCAGAGCGGTCGCCATGGGAAGCCATAAATGGGCGCCAGTTTAGGATTAGTCAATAAAATCAAGAACCAGATTTAAATAAGATTAGGTTAGGAAAGTATATGTAGTAAGAACATTTTTAGAACGAATATATGCAATTAAAAAAGTCCTTTTTAATTTATAATAGATAAATAATATCACATACTTGTATATCGTATTATAATACTGTAACCTGACTTAAATATTTATTTAATTTGTAGTTTAGAAAGGAAAAAAAGTGTTAGCTGCTGAGAGGATTTCTGCAAAAAGAATATTCTGTTTGGCGAAAATCCAACAGAAAGAGTAGTAAACATTCTACTTCCCTTCACCAAAAATTCAGTTTAAAAACTTTGTTTACGTTATACCCAACCACCCTTGTATTGTATTATAATGGTTGAATATAACATGTAAATTTTCTAAAAGTGGTCTTGTGAATTATACTTTATTAATTAAATAGGTCATTAGTGAAATAGTGATACGGTACAGAAGTGAAATATCTGTTAACGAAGATCAATTAAGATGAGTTTGTTTAAAGCTATGGGCACAGGTACTAGTACATGGTGGAGGAACTAGTCCGGCAAGTGGGCCCTATCGTGCTCCTTTTTGCCAACCCCTGATGGCTACCTTAAGGTTGCCGCTGTGAACTTATCAGAGTGGGAATTTCAAGATCCATTTTTTGGGGCTGCAAAGAAATGAAAATTAACCGACCCAGCTGGGAATCGAACCCTCAACATTCAGAACCAGGCACTCGGGGACCCACACCCCAACTTGCTCGCCATCTCATCCTCAAAGCTATGAGTAGATTCGATTTTACTCTACTTTAATTTTATTTGAATTTAGTTTTACTAATTTAATTTATATAGATACGAATAGAAGACTGATCAATCCAAAGAAAATTAATTTATATTATTTTAGAATTTTTGAAATTGATGATGCGTATTAAATTATGTTTTATTGCAAATTGTTATAAATTAAAAAAAAAATTACCAATTTTGGTGTCCTGATTGTGTTCTAATAAATTAACAAGCAGTAGATCATCAAACTCTCAGCATTATTTTATAACTACCTGTTTCTTCAACAGCTTCAATCGTGTAGTCTTCCCTTAATGCAAATATTAGGGGGATCGTAAAGTAAAGTCGTTTCTGCGCATGTCACTATTTGATTGTCCTTTGTCAGCTTATTTTGTACATCTAAGTCCTACCCGGTGGGCCAGAACCCCTTACCATGCACCCCGCCCTCCCACATCCCTATAAATTGCATATCGTTGTGTTCCTTGTGACAATTTATTAAAAAAAAGCCAATGTTCCCACAAAAGAAAGTGAACAAACTGCCCCAAAATGGCATCCAAACATGGCGGATTGAGGACTTTGACTTTAGTTAGTTTTTTTTGTTACTGAGAATCAGCATTTGGCTTAATTTCATTATAGTTGGTCTCTTATTAAAGCTGGATAGTCAGAGAATAATAAAACATAAAAAAATATTAAAAACTAATTGACTTAGGCATTACAAAAAATCGGTAAAGTCAATTTTTTTTACAAAAAAATTTTCAAGTTGAAAATCAAGCGTCGTTTGTAATTAAACGGTCAACAATAATGCGAACATGCTGAAATAAAACATCTGGAGAATACATTTTTCTTTCTAAAACACTGATTACTTTTTAAAATATTTGAAGTAGTTCCGTAGAAAATGTACTTAAGCGGCAGAAAAGCGCTACTGGCGTGGGTGCCTACAGGCCTGTACCACAACACTCAGTACTCATAAATGGCTTAGTTATAGTGTTATAATAACGTTTTTGTTATATTATATTGATTATATTAACGAACAAATATTAATACAATAATTTAATTGTAAAAATTTTTTTTTTGAAATTTATTATTTTTGTTTTTATTTATCATTATTATTTTTTTTTAATTTAACTTCATTTATTCTATGCGGAGGTCGCTTAAGAAGGCCTCTATTATAAAAATTATATAATTATAATAATAAAACTTAATTCAAAAATACTTTGCAGAATATCTTGAATTTTTTATTTAATATTTGCAATTTAACATTTTGTTTTATATATTTACTGATCCTTAGAGGTAATTTTAATTGTATATACTTCCCCGAAAATGAGTCATATTAATATCTGTTTTATAAACTAAAATAATATATACCTAATCTGAACTACTTTTAATGAATAGGTGATGGATTGTTTAGTAAAATTCATATATCGCTATTAAAAAATACATTTTTATTTCCTTTATTTTATTCGGAAGTTGGACCATATCATAAAAAATAGGAACTTTTAATATTAAAGTGCATTATTCCCTCTGCACAAAAGAAATATGGAAAGGGCGAAGCTATAAGTTCTTCTAGGTAACTGGAACTGATTGTTAGTATTTGGTCTCAAAATGAGAGAAAACGCGAAATTGAACCCAAACATTGGAAAAATACATTAAGCGAACGACAAAGGAAGTGCCAAAATTTCGGAAAAGAAAACAAGGATCAGTATCCATTATATGGCTAAACGAATATATAGTAGACAGATGAACAGAATATTTCAAGATGCTGCTAAAAGAGGGTCAAAATGCCTGATGAGTTTGGATGATATTAAGCAGGTTTATTATGGTGAAGACCATTTCATCACCAAGAAAGATTTGTTCTAGGCAATTGGCAAGTCAGCTGGTCTGGAAGAAGTTACCTGAAATGCTGTGCGTACAAAGGCTACAAATGTATTAGAAAATTATATGAAAGGACTGTAGTTTTGTCCCTTCACAGGAAATGAAATACTAGGAAATGTTATTAGAGATTCCTTACTGTTTATAGTACCAAAGAAAGTCTACTCAAGAATTGTAGAAGCTAAAATTAGAAATATTGTCGATTGCCTGAGCGATATGGATTGAGAAACTCAAGTTGCACATTGGAACATAAGTTGCAAATTGGGACTGTCTTCACTTTAAGGTAGGTTATAGAGAAGTTCACAGAGAAAGTAAAATGGTTCTCTATCTGCTTAGTGCCTTACACTTTGGATTGATCGAATATCTACTAGTCTTTCACAAAAGCTCGTTTTCCTTTCAGATTCCTTCAAAAATCTTTTGCAATTGCACTAAGCAGGAGGAGAGCTATTTTCCTTTATCGATAGACCTCTCTATAACCTGCTTCAAAGTGAAGATAGTCCCAATGTACAACTTCAATAGCAATCTAAAATAAAGTGGTTTACACCATTATAAACCTCGTTTACTTCCTCCAGACCTGCTTGCCAATTGCTTAGAACAAATCTTTCTTATAGCTTCGCCCTTTCCATATTTCTTTTGTGCAGAGAGAATAATGCATTTAATATTAAAATTTCGTATTTATTGTGATATGGTCCAACTACTAGTCTTTCACAAAAGCTCGTTTTTCTTTCAGATTTCTTCAAATATCTTTTGCAATTGCACTAAGCAGGAGGAGAGCTATTTTCCTTTATTGATAGACCTCTCTATAACCTGCTTCAAAGTGAAGATAGTCCCAATGTACAACTTCAATAGCAATCTAAAATAAAGTGGTTACACCATTATAAACCTCGTTTACTTCCTCCAGACCTGCTTGCCAATTGCTTAGAACAAATATTTCTTGCTGATAAAGTGGTCTTCACCATAATAAACCTGCTTAATATCATCCAAACTCGTCTAGCATTTTGACCCTCTTTTAGCAGCATCTTGAAATATTCTATTCATCTGTCTACTATATATTCGTTTAGCCATATAATAGATACTGATCCTTGTTTTCTTTTCCGAAATTTTGGCACTTCCTTTGTCGTTCACTTAATGTATTTTTCCAATGTTTGGATTCAATTTCGTGTTTTCCCTCATTTTGAGACCAAATACTAATAATCAGTTCCAGTTACCTATAAAAACTTATAGCTTCACCCTTTCCATATTTCTTTTGTGCCGAGAGAATAATGCATTTAATATTAAAATTTCGTATTTATTGTGATATGGTCCAACTTCCGAAAAAAATAAAGGAAAAAAAATGATTTTTTTAACAGGGATATATGAATTTTACTAAACGATCATCACCTATTCATTAAAAGTAGTTCAAATTAGGTATATATTATTTTAGTTTATAAAACAGGTAATAATATGACTCATTTCCGAGGAAGTATATACAATTTAAATTACCTCTAAGAATCAGTAAATATATAAAACAAAATGTTAAATTGCAAATATTAAATAAAAAATTCAAGATATTCTGCAAAGTATTTTTGAATTAAGTTTTATTATTATAATTATATAATTTTTATAATAGAGGCCTTCACAAGCGACCTCCGCATAGAATAAATGAAGTTAAATTTATAAAAAATAATAATGATAAATAAAAACAAAAATAATAAATTTCAAAAAAAAAAATTTTTACAATTAAATTATTGTATTAATATTTGTTCGTGGTAAAGATGTTCTCAGGTTGTAGTGACTTGTTTAGTTGTAAATAACTGAATTAAATTTTTGTTTGTTATTTTGAGTGAAATAGCAATCAAATGGGCTAGGAAAGTTGTTGGGTTTAGTAACGAGAGAATTCCTAAAAGGTTAATATTTGCTGTGCCGAATGGTAAGCGTCCGAGGGGTAGACCGAAGCGAAGGTGGGAAGATTGCATTAAAGCCGATCTGAAGGGGCTGGGTTTGGACAGCAAACGGTGGAGAGAGAGGGGTGTAATAAGCGATTAATGGTGTTGGCATCGAACCTTCGGGTTCGCTAAGCCTTTTATTATTATTATTATTATTTTGAGTGAAATGTCCAGCCAAATATCAGAAGAGGTACATATTTGGCATTCCATGCTTTTTGAGTTAGACGCAGACATATGTAAATGCTAAAGGTGGTTTTTTAAGTTCAAATCTGGTAATTTTGATCTTCTCAACTCGTATCAATTAGGAAGCAAATATGTGACAGGCAATCGAGGAATTGTAAAACAGTCTTAACCTACCTTGGTTGATTCAAGAACATTAGCAGCAGATTGGGAAACCACCACTAGGAACTTATTACTTCAACGACACAATATAGAAGCATATTTTGATCTCTTGATCACCAGGAATAAAAAATGGTCCTCCACGATTATCCAAAACACAAAAGGCAGTGTCTCTCCAGATGAATGAACACAATGTACTGCTAAATCTGGTTTGCACTGCAAAACGGCTCTTTTATGTGTTCAGTGGAGTATTCACAATGTTGTTCATTTTGAAATGCTGAAACCTGGACAAACTGTGAATGCAAAACTTTTCTGTGAAAAATGGGATTATGTAATTCAACCTTTAATTGAAAAGTGGCCAGCTTGTCAACAGAAAAGGTGTTATTCTACAACACGATAATGCAAGACTGCACTGTGAAAGATGAACTCTGGAAAAAATTAAAGAATTGGGATGGGGGATGTATACTGTCTCAACCACCATACTCGTCTGTTGTTGCACCATCGGATTTCCATTTATTTTGATTGCTTCAACAGTTTCTAAGTGGCTAAAGATTTGCAAACTTGGATGATATCCAATATACCATCTCTATATATTTTGCTCAATAACCAATTGATTTTTATTGATCCGGCATTGAAAATTTGGACACTATATGACAAAAAATTGATAATTAGGGTGATTACATCATTGATTAAAATAGAAACTCATTAAAAATGTATATTTTTGAATTTCATGTAATAAAGTGACATTACTTTCCGGTATCCCTAATATGTATTTACTGAGTACCTGGCATTATTTGTAATGATTTTTTTTTTGTATGTTTTAACTCTGTTTATACTTGTACTTATGAATACACAATATTGCTGTATTTCCATGTGGCGGCGACCACTTTATCTCACAACATTTTTGAAACACATTCTTAAACGTACAGAGCATAATTACACTTACAATAAATAAGCAATTAGTACTTAAAAGACAATTTTTGTTTTCATTTTTTAAAAATGTTTTTGTATTGCTCCTCCCACAAATCCTGAGTTCTGAAGCATTGGCGTTATTTATGTATTAGTGCCATTCGGGAGGGCTAATTGTAAGCTAAATTTTGTTGCTCTCCCAATAAAAGCCAACATTTCATGTATCAGTATTTTAGGCAATGTATTTCAAAATAAACATCTTTAGATTTATATCTAAGCAAAATGTGATCACTTAACGCCTTAACGATGAACAACGCCTTACGGTTTTTAAAAATAAAATTTTGCACAAAAGATTTGGGCCAAAGGACGATTTAATTGCATAATTTAGACCACTATTCAACGCCAAATTGCATGATTTTTACCTGATGAATATAATTGAGATGATAGATTTTCAGCTATCCAATTCACCAATCTCTAAAAGGTTAATGTGTGCTGGGCCAACTGGTAAGAGTTCAAGGGGTATACAGAGTCGAAAAGTGGGATTATTGCATTAGGGTGGGATTGCATATGGAAGATGATTGGTGGATGGAAGTATGTTGACAACAATTGGTGGTATCAGCGTCGAACTTTTGGCTTCACTTAGCCTTTATTATTGTCTTCTCACTTTCTCTATTTCTATATGTGGTAATTGGTTATTAGTAGATTTGGGATGGAGTAAACAGAATGGGTGGCTCCCGGTAAATACTTGCTCCGAACGCCGAAAATCCACGTGACATCCCCGAGCTTAGCCTCCAGTTTTTGCAGTAAATCTATTGCAGTACTTCTCATTATTTTACATTCATTCATTATTTTTTATTATGGTTAAAAAAATTGTCTGCCTCAAACAGTTGCTGCTTTTTTCTTATTGAAAACTAATATATATATATATATACACAAATACAAGTCTAAGGACTTTTTGCTTGCTCTGTTATGTCTTCGTTGCATATGATTCACTAGCTGTTCCCTTTAACACAGGGGTCTAGAACCTTTTTTCACCTATAGGCACATTTTTAAGTTATGAGTTAGGTGGTGGGCACTGTTTGCTTATTCATTGTGAATTGATGGTGGGTTACTTATTAAAATATTTAAAAATAAAATGTCAAGGGTATCAATAAAAATAAATGCATACATATAGTAACAGATATATCTTTATTATTTCTAAAACTAATGAAATATATTTCTGTAGAAAAGGTGAAAACACCAACAGTAATGAATGTTATTAATTTTATATAGTTTTTAATTTATGATTAAAAATTAATTAGGACTACAGATTATAACTAGGTATGAAATAAATGTAATGCATTGTTACCAACAATGTCATTCATTTCTTTTTTAAATATCAAAGAGATTATAATATCAAAACAATAGTGGTTATATATCGATAAATGATTATTATTTTCAATTAATTTATAATTTATACTTTTGAATTTTATGTCTATGAAATCATATTAAATTTGTAAAAATAAATTTATTAAAGAAAAAACTGTAAAACACCTCAATTGAAAACTGGTCTATCTGCAGCATGTTATATAAAACAATAATGATGATGGAAAAAATAAATTATTATTTTAAAATCAATTGTGCATACAATTAATTATTAGATATTTATTAAAATAAATATTCAACATATAATTGGAAATTTATCAATCTGCAATAAAACTGATGCCAAGACGATGACCGATAATGGTTATGTTAGACATTGGCGGGCCCAAGTGATGTTGTCACGTTGGCACAGTGTTGCCCGCAAGCTCTAGGTTGGAACCCCTGCTTTAAGGTATTAGACTTTATCTTCTTCCAATTAGGAAATAGAAGGGAGATGAAAGGTTTTAGTACATATAATTTTAATAATTTATAAAATTCGATTTAATATTTGATTGTAATGCCTTTAGCTGGATGATCGGCTGAATCAGGTGAAGCTCATTGAAAAGTTGCTGACTGAGCCAATGGAATTTTGGACTGGTTTACTCCGTACTTATCTGGTTGAAGGGCATTGTGTAACTGCCAAGGGAATACCTAGCATCAAGGAGCAAATAGCAATGAAAGAAGAAGACGAATATATATTCGAAATTCTTGTTAAACATTTAGGTCCTGAAGGCTTAAAGAAGAAGGGGGAAGAACTTGCAGCAGCAATGGCTATTAATGAAGTATGATATTGATTACCTTTTTTATTAATGTCTATAATAAACTGAATAGAATATGCATGAAAATAAACTTTATATAAACCAATAGGTCTCCAATAATAAGCCTAAATAAGACAAAGGGCTGAAGTACGTTGAGTCTTGTACAAAGTTCAAAGGGCCAACCCTATCTTATAGCTAATCTTATACTCAATAATAATATTATACTCAGATATGCTAACATACTCAGACGACCAATCACAGTTAAAAGTTCAATTATACATGACAGTTCTTGTATTTCTTAATTGTCATCAATTAAGAATGTCTGATTATTATTTTGTATAATTTATTTAGAGTATAATTGTAATCAAAACAAACTGTCGCGGCCTGAATTGGTGTGACTCATGAGTAAAACTTGACCATATAGTCCGAGAGTCAGCAACTTATTTATTTAACCAGAAGATGTAAAGCTAAAAAGCCTTTAGATTTACATTATTTACCATCCTAAAACATGAAATGAACATCAGTTACCCAATACTCAATACCCAAGGATTTCATGTTGAAAATTTGAATTAATGATTCAAAAAGTTCACTTTTTAAGTTTTCCACTTATATCAGGGAAACTAGTGATGATAATGTTCTATATAAAATTAAAGTTGACAAAATTGATGTTTTCACTATCTTGTACAATTTTCAAGATATCTGTTCTCATAATTCATTATTTCCAAAAATCAACTTTTGCCTTCCATTTTTATCTTTATTTGACAAACTCTTTATGTTTTCACTCAATAAAAAAAGTCATAAGGAAAATAGTTGTTGAGTGTTAAATTTTCTTCAAAGATAAATATTACTTCACTGTTTTATCTTCAAAACTTACAGCAATTATAACTTAATGTATAAATTCCAAGATTTTGCTGATAAACTAACTAGGTCGAAACGTCAGCAAATGTCAAAATAAATATTATCATTTATTTTTGCCTTCTTATTTGACTGATCACCCCAACTATTCTTCTCTTCATTATTCACGACAGTCAACCATTTACCAATTACAAAAAGTATACACTTTTTGTGGATATATTTTTTAAAAGTTTACTGAATTTTCTAAAAAAACTGTTAAAATCGGATGAGTAGGAGCAAATATATGGTCTCTAGTTTTTTTTATATGTTCTGCTGCAAATGTTATTATTATTTTTTAATTTTGAATGTGTTACTGAAGTAATGCTAATTTTTTTAGCATATTATTAATGATAAAAAAAAAAGTTTACTCTGATAATTGAAATCACCTTTTTTTTTTTTTTCTTTGTAACTAGGAAGGCAATGTTACTTTAGATGTATAATTGTTTGGAAGTAATAAACTATTGTGAAATAATTTACAGCATTTTTTCAATAGCAGCAGTAGCAGAACTGCATTGGATATGTGTTATTGTTTCACAAGATTCAATTATCCTTCTTTGTAGGGAATTAAGGTCATTGACCGGACTTGTATGGACTTTTTGTTTAATGTCACCCCAAACAAAAAAATCCAATGGTGTCAGATCTGGAGAGCGTACAGGACAAGCCACTGGTCTTGCACGGCCAATCCATTGATTGGCAAATGGGATATGGGTTATGATTGAGCTAGTCCAGTCAATGACCTTAATTTCTTACGAAGAAGGATAATTGAATCTTGTGAAACAATAACACATATCCAGTGCCGTTCTCCCACCGCTGCTGTTGAAGAAAGATGCGAGCCTCTCTTAATGCTCAAGGGTAATGTTTAAATTTAATTAATAAAGTAGTTAAAACAAATAGATAGATTTTATTTATTTCATATAACGTAAATAATTCATAACAACGAAAATCTTTAGGTGTGAATATCTCCTAAACTAAGCGTTTATGGACATACCTTCAGAGTTACTTTTTTCCTTGTTTTGAGGTCCTTAGTTCATTTTTGTAGTTTGGCTGAAACACCCTGTATATGGTTTAATCCACTTTCATATTATCATATTTTTTTTTAATTATAATTTAAAATAGGTAAAGATTTATATACTTTTTCAATAAATAGTATTAATTAATTATTTTAAATTAATTATGATTTCATTCACCTTCTACCCCTTCTAATAATCTAAATGTATTTAACACTACAAGCAATATTGATTTTTTTCTAGATTCCACCTCCTGAGGGAATGCTTTGCTCTGTTCCAATATCATCTATTGATTCCATACATTTCCACACAATATCTAGTACCACAAGTGATTCAAAAGTTCAAGATTCAAGATTTAATCTAAGTAATGTTCCAGTTTTTATGCAACTTGACCATTTACAAACAAATTTTGTTTACGTAAGTAATGATGACCAAATAATTTTAATACTTATAATATAGCTATATTATTTAATTAATTATTTAATAGTGGAAACTGCTTCATTGCGCAATATTTTCTTGGGAAAGATTTCTTCTCATTAGTCATCATTTATGCAATGTCTTCACAAAATGAAAAGTCTTCACAAAAACAAAAGTTCTTTAAAAATGTAACAAACATTTTACTGGATTTAATGGAAGTTTTGAAAATTATGAAATAACCGATTCATTATTCAAATATGAATTGTGGTCACTCAGCACAACCAGTAATTTAAGTATGGAAAGGTTATTAAAATCGATGGATATCTCGAGAGATAGTCCAGTATTGTCACTAATTGAGTTTCTATAAATAAATGTGTTAAAAATCTTATAAAGTTAGCTAAAGGAACTTATGGGTTGATTTAAAAAAAAAAAAAAGGTTTTTCTTAACTGCTTGAGATATTAAGATATCCCCATACATCCTTTTTTCAAGAGTAATGTGTACGATCCCTAGTTAAGGTATACATTTATTACTTTTTATAATTTTATGACCCCAAGCTGTTTTTAACTTATTTTTTACTTTTTCAGATTATTGCTCTATTGGATTCTAGTTCTGTAGATGATAAATTAAGACCATATTTACCCTTACTTTTGGATCTCCTACAAGAATCACCAGTAAAACGTGGCAATAACATTATTCCCTATCAAGAAATAGTATCACAACTTGAAGAAGACACTATAGCCACAGTTTTCAGGGTTGGTCTTGATTCAAGTTCAAGATTTCAAGCAGGTCCATTCTCATCCACAATAAGTGTTGTTCTTCAGGTACAGAAAACTACCTCTAACCTCCACTTAGTTTATAATTTTTACTTTGTTATTTTTATACAGTCATAAACAGAATCACAGATATTCCTTCATTGGTAATAAATTTAGTTTTCTTCCGTTATAAATTAATTGATTAATTTTAACTTATAATTTTTTACTTAAATCTCACTGTGTATTTTCACCATATACTTGTATTGATAAACTATTTGTTTTATTGGACAGTTACACTACATGGAAATATGGTCTGAAATCTTGGTGGTAACTGCTTAAGAATTTATATGAAGAAATGTGTGTAAAATGATTTGTTTAGTTTTCTTGGGTTATAACAACGGATTGCAATCAAATTCAAATGATAAAGAACATTTAAGATAGAGATTGGTTTTTTATTTTATTTTTCTTCTCTTCCTAAGCATATACTAAGGCTATACAGGATTTTTCTCTGGCCAAAGGAAAGTGGTGGGGATAATCTCTGAGTTAAAAGTTCCCTTGGCACTGAGATTCAAACTCATAATTTATTTATTTATTTTTTCCTAACAACAATAAGGAGAAAATACTATCTTGGTGACTGAGTTCTGCTAGTCATGTATTTTTTTTTCTTGCTGGTAAATCTGAAATTATATGAAAAGAAAAGTGGAAATTTACTATAAAAACTGGAAAATGACACTTAACTTGTAAAGAAAGACTGAACAACCATGTACTGTACAGAAAAATCCTTAGTATGTATGACAAAAAATTGGAAATTATGGTGAAAACCAGAAATTTTGTTGAATAGAAACAATCATGTTCTAATTCACTATTTATTATGTTAATATCATTATTATGTAATAGGCAAAATGTTGAAAGGTACACATTACAGATATTATTGTGTCTTTCAGAGTCTTTCAGAGCCTGAACATTTCAAGCCATCTGTGATTTGATTTTAAAGAACTTTTATGTGGAGACCATCTGATACGTAGATGTCATCTTGAATATTTATTGGAATTAAAATAGGTCCTTGACTTAAACTATTGACCAGATAAAAGCTGTAACTATGCCTAATTTCAAGCAATTAACATCAAAAAAATTTAAATTTAATTTACATTACATGAAAGGGGGGAATAGTGAAGAGGATAGGGTACCATCAATCAACTGTAGTCAGAGTTATGAAAAAAAATCTTCACAGGTAAGTGGCAAAGATGGGGAGTAGAAACAAAATGTTATGGTACTACAGTTACCCTTTACTCTGGTATTTTAAATGGCAAATATGTAAAAAAAAAAAAAAAAAAAAGGAGAAATAGAACAATAAAGTTTCATAACTTTAAATTGTCACAATGATTTTTCCAAGGGAAAGAAATATTTATATATGAACAAAACTAAATAATGTAAGGGTCGATACAAATTTTAATAAACAAAAATATTTTTGAATTTTCATTTTGGGAAAAATTCATGTTAGGCTAAATTAAAAAAAAAAAAAAACATTAATTTTATAATAATGATTATAAAAATTAGTTGTCTTGTAAATTGTATGTAAATGAAATAGTGAAGACAGATCTAATCTAAGTAAAACTTGGATTCTTGCTGTAGGAAATTTTTTTCATGAAAACAATGAAATGTTACGAAATGAATAAATGGAGTTGCTTTCTTTGCTATTATGTAATTTAAATTCTAGTACTTTTTTATAGGTAGAACCAAAGAAATTTGAACAAGGAATAAAATGGATTCAAGAGTTACTCTATAACACTGTTCTGACTGAAGAAAGAGTTAAAGTTCTTGCAACTAAAATAGTTAATAATGTCTCAGAAATCAAAAGAAAAGGTAACGCCATGGCTTATGATCTCATGAGAGGCTTGCTGTATGGGAAGAGTAAGTTTATATATTAGATATTTCATTATAATTGTATTTTAAACTAATAAGACCTGGATGTCTATCCAAAGTGTTTTGTGGAAACTAGCAATCAGATCAAGACCAGCCAGAACTGTTCCTGGGTTTCAGATAGGTGATACCCTCCTGAACTGATTCTAAAAGCTTAGATGTCTGAGACAACTTTTAAAACAATAGTGTGTGATTTATTATGCCAATCCCTTCCACAGTTGTCAGGGATATTGACATTATAATTCTGCTTTAATAGCTGGTAATAGAAGTTATTGCAAGTACTGTAAAGTTAAAGAAGTTAGTGGACTAAAAAAGTGGAAATATAAAATTGATTACTTTATTTTAAATAATTTTGGAATTTATACACTTTAAATATAGGTGGGTTGGGATACTTGCAATTTTTTCTTTTCTTCTATTTGACAGTCTTCTTGTTCATCTCTCTCTTCCTTTCTTGGCCCCTCACTGGCTGCTGTAGTTTTTTACTCCATGTTTAGGAAATCAGTGGAATTCATAATTTTCTTGCTGGCCAGCCTAGTGAGTCTTTTACTCAACGTGGGGATCTACGCTTCAGTAATGGCAGACTCTCCGTAACATCTGAAATATATAGTCAGTATACTCGAGATCGCAGCTGTGTTGTTTTTTCTTGATTTAATTTAAATGGGAAGTTTACTATGTTTCCTAAACAAATAGATTAATAGATAATTAAAAAGAAATAATTAATAATATTTTTTTCAAATATTCCTAATAATATGGAAACAAAATGATTAACAAAATAAGTTAGTAGCATTTGAAAATGGACAAAAAAAGTCCATAATGTCAAGCAAATAAAGAATGGTTTGGAATAATAATATGAAGATATTTTTTTTCTTCCTAAAAATATTTATAATAATAATAATTACTGTACCTTCAAGTAGGATAAAACTTATATATTAATTAAGTAGTACTTACAAGTCAATGAAACTATGGTAGGCAATGTGTTATGATCCACAAAGCAAACAGCGGCAATTGCTGTAAGCAGTAGTTGATGAGTGCTGTTCCATAGCTTGTGTACCTTACTTGATAGACAAAGTATGACTATCATAATTACAGGTTTATAAAATTTTAAAAATTCTAAGTTCACCATTGTAAAGTAGATAAATTTTTTTTGAGAAAACTGTTTCATACGTCCGCTGAATAGAGATATGCTGCTCGTGTATGGATGCTGTGACTGCAGTAGTACAGCGGCTGTATTATACCTCCTGAAGGTCCCTTTTATCATTAATCTTAGTAAATTTAATCACTGTTTTCTCAAAAAAAAAAATGTGTATTTAGAATTTTATTATCTTGGAACAGTTTTTCAACAATTCCTTCTTATTCAATAAAAAACGTGATCTTAACTCATTTTCTGTTCGTTATTGGCCCATGCATCAAATGCATATTTTGTTGGAGATTTTGTCTAGAATCACCACTCCCCTCCCCCTTCCTACAGTGTGTTCCAGGCCATTTTGGTATTACTGGCAATGAGATGGTGGATGAATTAGCCAGGAGAAGCTCTGAAACTATTCCCATAGCACCCAAACCAATCTGCAGTATTAACATGAGTCTAATTAAAAAAAGAATCAGGAGAGATTTGTAAGCTTAGAACATGGTACAGAAGCCAAGAAATAGTAGTGTTCTAAAAAATAGACTCAATCTGGGCTGTTCCTGGGCAAAGTCTGTACTAAGGGAACTAATCTGCTAATTAACCTGAACAAGTGTTCTCTTAAGAAAATTACAGCGATTTATACAGTTCACTGTAAACTGAACTGTCATATGTTCAAACTTGGGCTAACGGAGTTACCTCTCAGTAGGTTCTGTGTCCAGGAGGATGAAACTGCTTATCATATCACTTGTAGGTGCGACAGATTCGCTGAGTTAATGTTCTGTTTATTTCGCAATGACAGATTGTTAGACCCCCAGAACAACGTGGTTGTCAATCCAATAAGTCTTCTTCAATTTGCAGAGATTAATAGTATAGAGATTAACAAGGGTGCATAATAGGCATTCAATGCTGCAGTGTATTTTGCTACAAACAAAAAATAAATAAAACAATATTATCATGTTAGTTGAAATAATAAAAAAAATCTGAAGTTTTTCATGACTAAAGCTTCAAAATCTACTTTCTTTATGCTTAAACATTAATTAAAACAAGAAATATATTTTAAAATTTATTCATAATAAATATTTATGAATTCTTAAAGCATTTTTAAATTCATTAGATTAGAGTGCTACCATTGGGTAGTTACTCAGCAAGTGTATTCATGTCATTATATCAATTATGTCCAAATTTACTTGATGTATTTATGTAATACAGTTGTAAATGTCATAAAGAAATAAAAAAAAAAAAAATTCATTAGAAATTACATCTATAAAAAAAAATTTTCATATTTACGTTTCACTTAAAACTGGTTTAGAAATGCTTTTAGGTAATTTGTATACTCAAGTATTTTAGAAAGATATTATTTTGATGATTGAATAACCATAAACCTTCTCTTAATTAGATAATGTCTTAACAAAGCTTTGTTGTACATCTATTCAAGTTCCTTCTTCTATTTCTCTAGTCTTTAGTTGTTTTTTTTTTCAATTTTTAGGAAGTAATCATCATGCTATTAGTGCTTTGCGTCAAACAAGGGTTCTGTCATCTGTGATTTTAAAACTTCAAAAGGAAGATACCGCTTCAGAAGTAATGAACGATTTAGAAAATCTGAGGTCTATTCTCACTCTTCCATCTAATATGGTTATCCATATGTCAGCAAATCTTGATATTCTTTCTTCACTTTACCAGAATCCCCCCAGGTTGTTGAATAATTTGCTTCCAGCAAACGTTGACCCAGTAAAAGGAAGGTTTGTTATTCATGTTAAATTTAATTTTTTTAAATTATCTTATACAAAAGCTATACTTATTTATCATGCTATAGTTATAAAATCCCTCAATTCATATTTAATACTAAAATTTAAAAGTCTTAAAGTGTGATTTTAAAGGTAGATAGGATGTTTTTATTTGATCTGATAGCCATTTTAATTTTGCATTATGAACTTCTTGGAGCATGGGAAGAATTCATGTTCATCTCCAATAGTCAATTGTGTATTAAATGTGTTTACCAGGAGTGTAAATATGAAACATAAATTTACGTGTTGAAAATACACGTTTAACAGCATATAAATATTTGAATAAAAATACTATCTATCGCTAGCTATACAATTTTCCTGTCTCTCTGGGAATTTATGAATGCCATTCCAGAAAAACTGCTGTTCTGTTGTGACGATCCATTCAATACATTTTCATTAGTGAAGTGCTGCTGAGCAATTAAACAATTGTTCATATCAATATCGAAGCTAATATCTCTGTGTCCCATAGGTAAACGACACCATGTCCATTTTTCATTAAATGATTTAGTAATGAAGAAACAAATTTTAATAGCTCAAAGTTATGGAAAATTGGCTCCCTGAACAAATACAAAAATGGGACAGTATCCTTTACCTCCGAAGTATAGATTTAGTAACAAAGAAATAAATTTTAATAGCGCAAAGTTATGGAACATTGGTCCCCTTGAACAAATAAAAAAATAGACATGGTGTTGTTTACCTTTGGGGTGCAGATTTCTCAACTAAACGCCTCAATCGTTCCTTTTTTTGCTGGGTGTGATGGTGCATTATCATGAAGCAAAATCACTTAGCATTGTATTTGATATTCTGGTTGTTTTTCTTGCAATCCCTGATTCAGATCGATCATTTGTTTTCGAGAGCATTTAGTTTTCACTAGTTCTTGGTTTCAGCAGGTTTCAACTGCTCATAATATCACATCACACCCTTCTGATCTCACAAAACAGAGCATTTCTTGTTTTCGTAGTTATTTGGTCTTCAATCGATGTTGATGGTTTGCTTTGTGATTACTCATGATCTTTAATGCATAGAATTCTCAAAATATATCCACTTATAATGTGGAAATGACTTTCTTTTTGTACCTGAGGAGCAGCAGTTCAGAGGTGATTTTCCAATTTTCTTGCTTTCTTTCATTCTGTTCATGTGGAACACGTTTTCCCATCTTCAGGATCTTTTTTCATAGGTTTTAAACATATGTAGATAACTTCTTATGACATATTCAACTTTTTTTGGGGAGGTCCTTCCCTTCCATGCTTTAGGGCTATACGGAGTTTTCCCGGGCCAGGGAGTGTGGGCGGGGATTATATTATATGTTATATTCAATTGATCCACGTGTTGTAGAGTTTTAATGTCATTCTCATCCAACAACGCTTCCAATTTGCTGTCTTCAAACTTTCTGGGTGGTCTTCCCCATTCTTTCTGTCTTTATTTCTTATGTCAAAATCACCAATTTTGAATTTTTTAAACCACTCAAAGCACTGTTGTTTATCAAGAGCATGCTTATCAGAAGCATGTTGACAAACATTTGATTGCAATTTTCCTTGAATGGTAACAGACAATTAATACTGTCTACAGTTTGTAGTTTTTGGCCCAAAGCTTAACATGTTCAACACTACTAAAATTATCCTAATAATTCATCAATGTTAATGTCTACCATAGGTTTAACTTTCATATGACCTCAGTAATAAGCTATGCTGGACACGTACATACTCACCAAGAAAAATAAGAATGTCCAAAAGAGAATTCCTCAAAGAAAGTTTGCAAACTATTGAGAAAAACTGGAAGGCTGGAAATATATGCGAATTCCTCGCATACATCAGGAATTATATCATTGTATCAAAGAAAGATATGATATAAAGTAAGAAATATGCAATTGCGAGGAAAAGATGGCAAATTGACGGCATCAAAAGATAAGAAGATCCTAAACATCTGGAAGGAACATTTCCAGTAGCTCCTTAATTAAGGGCAACCCACAAACGAAGAAGAAATGAACCACACTGAAGACCTTGACCCAGCCCACTTGAAGCTGAAAAACTGGATATTCTGGATATTGAAATAGCTATCAGCAGGCTTAAAAGAAGAAAGGCTCCAGAGATAGACAACCTACCATCAGAATTGTTTAAGGATGGAGGAGAACACCTCAGAGCCAACCTTTTAGAACTAATCTGTAAAATATGGGAGAAGGAATGGATACCAGAAGTCTGGTCTGTCCTATTCTTAAGAAGAGATCCATATATGAATGTGGTAATTACAAAGGCATAGATAGAACTTCTTCTGGTTGTCTATAAGATAGTGACTAATATTCTACTAAATTCGATTATCCATCTTATGAAAACATAATAGGCAATCTCCAAGTAGGATTCAAAAGAGGAAGGAAGGAGTACATTAGACCAGATACTTATGATAAATGATTGGAAATGGATAGAGAGATGGTCTCTCGCCTTTGCTGTTTAACTTAGCCCTGGAGAAAGTAATAAGAAGAACATCACACGAAGATGGAAGGGTGCATGTCGAAGTGAAACAGAAAATCCTAGCATACGCGGATGATATAACTGTGCTCGGAAGCAATCAAGAGGATATTGAGAGACTTGATAAGAGAAGCAAAATCGGACTACAAGTTTACGAAGATTAAACAAAATACATGATAGTTAGCCGAAAAATTCTAGTCCATGGTACAAATCCCTTTTTATCAAATTATTAACATCTGCCTGAAAATTTGTAAATAGCTTCATCTCATCGTAACCTACAAATATTTTATTTATGAAAATTCTCAGAATTGGGGCATTTTCAATCTGAAGGTCGGCAAACTTTGACTATTTAATTAGGTACTAAAAACTCGTAAATACCCATTGACGACCTCCAGATTGAAAATGCCCCAATTCCAAGAATTTTCGTAAATAAAATGTTTGTAGTTTACAATGACATGAAGATATTTATAAGTTTTCAGGAAGATTTAGGAAGGCTCAACGTAAGCCACAACAAGAATTCTATATACTTCAGCTGCACATTTCTCTTGAATAAAATAATGCAATGAAATTCCCCACAAATACTCTTTACTTGGCTCAAATCTTAACATTTTTAGAACTACAAAAAAAAGTTTCCAGTGTGGCAAATTAACATACACTAAAGTCTAAGCTTACAGACAGTAGTTTTGTAAAATTGCATTACTATCTGAAATGAATGCACATAATGTTGGTATTGTCATCTTTTAGAAAACAGTGAAAACTTATTCAAGGTCCTAATATATATTCTTTTTTTCTTGAAGGTTAAGGGCTGTTCCAGACTGGAAGTTGTTACAAGAAAGAGATGTAAAGGATTCCTGTGTTGCTGGCATGGGTTCAGTTGAATCAGCTTTCTTTGTTCAAACTGTACCAGGTATCTCTGATTTTAATGACGCAGATCTCCCCAAAATCCTTGTTTTTTTCCAGTACATTTCGCAAACAGAGGTATGTTGGTTAAATATATTTAGGATTGTGTAATTAATTTGTTTAACCACTTTTCACGTATTTATTCATTGCATAAAAGAAGTTTTACTTTCACTTACCTATATATGAAATATATAGTAAAGGAAAGTATTGCAATCGTGAAAATTTTTGAATCTCAGTTTTCAACGGAAATACACGTTTTGAGGTCCCCTGAGATCAAATAATCAAGTCCCGCAAAATAGTCTGTGTGTGTGTGTTAACAGTCTAGCTCAAAAACTTAAAGTCGTACGAAAGTGAAATTGCATATTTAAGGTTTTTATATACTAGGGATGTTACAGTAACTTTTTCGTCAAAATCAGCTGACCGGAGGTGACACTTTATATCATGGACGAAACATACTTTTACGATTTTCTCGAAAACGGCTAACGATTTTGATTAAATTCATTATATCAGTGTAAAATTAAACAGTTTTAAATAAAATGTAGTTTTTATTCTGATTGACGTTTTCTAACCGGGCTTAAATGTTAATTTTCAATATTAGCTTCCTCTAAAGTACCTTTAATTTTTTTTATTTGAAGAAATTGACCATTACACATTAATCTCTAATATAAAAGATAGTTAAATATAAAATATGAGATGAGATCATTAACTAAAGGAGAAGTAAGAGATCATAACGGAGAATATTTGTAATTGAGAAACCAAAAGAATGCGACCACCCGAACTCACCCAAAAGATTAGAACACGCTTCCATATGTAACATGAGCTTAATATAATATGAACACTGACAATATTATATAAACATACATAAATGCGATTTTAGGTATTACTTAATATTTAATTGTATAGATTACAGCGATATAAATATTAAAATTTGTATATACTAAGGTACTTAAGCAAATAAACAAAAAAAAGCGTTGGAAATTATTCTATCCAACCTAAGGGGAATTTTGCTTGTATATTCACTTAAAGATAGTTATAGATTATTAATGAAATTGACTGAATATTTAAACTTGGTGTAATATTCCAATGCCTTCCATTACACATTATGGCTTCTGGCAACTATATATTGTTCCATTCATTACATCATGTTAACTTTCAAACAAGTCTTCAGTTTTGTTTACGGATAGAGTGTATTCTGACTTTTACATCAAGTTAACATATTAATGAACATCAATTTTACTGACAATCTACCTTATGTTTAAGTAAATATATTAAAAATCTGCAACAAGATCGTTTTCCTCAGAGCTGCATTACAGTTTCTCATGTTTTTTTTTCGGCTAATAAGGCATTTTGTTCATGATTTTTATAATAAGTGATGCACGATCGATGCCGCTTACTGCTGTGGGTTGTTGAATGAGGTGAAGGATGCATTTCTCTGCAAAAGACTTAACTAACTAATTTGAGAGGTCATCCTCCTCCATGACATCAGGCAACAGTCTCCAAACTGCTGCAGATATATTGTATGCAATTTGATCATTCTCCTCACAACCTGTAACTATCACTTTGCAATTTCTATTTGTTTAGCCCACTTAAAGATGTAACAGGGAAACAATTTGAAGAAGACGAGGACTTTGTAGGATTTTGTGTGTAGTTGGTTCCTGACTCAACCAGCTTTATTCTATGATGGTACAATAAGAAATCTTCCTTTTTGCTGGAAAAAAAGTATTTCTAAAGCAGGAAACTCAACGGAAAAATTAACAATTTCTTTTCTTTCTTTTTTTTTTATATGAATGAATATGTTTTTGTTTTAATATCAAAGAAATAATTAATGTATTTCCTGTAAGGATATTTAACTGAACATGAAGCAATTAAAAAAAGTGTTTATATATTAAGGGTTTCTATATATTTTTTGTGGACTTTTATCTGTGAAAATTTTGGTATGAAATATTTTTTACATGTTTGTCAAATTTGTTTTCTCTGAAATAACCGATTGAATTATGTTTTTATTATACAATTATAAAAAATTATTATTTCTAGCATTAATCGGATTATTATTCAGCATACATCAAAGACTGGTATGCATCAATATTGAAAAGGGTGGGGGAAGGGGATAACCATACCAGTAGAATAAAGCTAATTATTCATTGAATTGGTTAGTGGTTCCAGTGTTTCCTAGTGAACGCTTTATGGAAACGATTTTTATCAGTATAAAAATTATATTATTTGTAAGTCAATAAGTGTCATTTATATTTTTATTTATTAAATACAAGGCCTCTGTTAAGGATTTTACTTCAAAATAATAATTACAGTAATGAAGTCTAAATAAGAAATTGTTTATTGAAGTCTTACTAGCTCACCCGTGCAAATATTCCGGACAAACCTAATAATTATGTCTAATATTAATACATTCAGGGAACAACTTTCATTCAATAATGTTTGATACGCAACTTCCATTCAATAATGTTTGATGCACAATTTACTTTATATATTTTGTAATTTGTCTGTTAATGAATAGTCGGCACCATCATATGGTTTGAAACCTCCCACTTTTACATTGACTTTTATTTAAGTCCAGGTATAAAATTAGGAATAAAAATTAGGATTCGTGCACTCTATGTGATATTCACTTTCTATTGATACCTGATTCTTCAAAACTCATTACCGTGTAGGGAAGTGTCCCACGGGTGACGGATGTGGAAATGGTCCATGAAAATTTCTTGGAAAGTTACTCTCAGCTAAGTCCAATGGACTTGCTGACCAACAATGAGAGAGGCCCTCCAGACTTGCTGGATTGAACACCCTACTCATATATTTATAGTTCATGAAGTACCAAACAGTCACTGATCTTCCTAAGATAAAACTCTCATTATCTGGAAGCAGACTACTTCCCTGGGTGGGGACTGCTTTAGGGGATTTGTGGCGCAAGTTTTATAAGATTCCTGGCACAAGTTAAAAACTAGAGATTTAAGTATAGCGACATGGAATGTAAGAAGTTTGAATACGTTAGGTGCGTTAAAATCTGTCACAAATGATATTAATGCTACAATTTAGATATAGTGGCATTTCAAGAGATTCGCTGGCCAAGAAGGATACATAAGGGAAGAGAAGTACACTGTTTGGTATGGAGGAAGCAGAAATCATTGTCTAGATACCAGTTTTCTTATTAGGAATACATTTCTATCTGTCTTATGAGACATAAGATTCTATAGCTATAGGATTTCAGGAGCGTTGGTTTAAAATCACATTAATAAACATACATTGTCCGACCAAAGTCATTGATGATGAAGCCAAATGAATTAAACATAAGGATATTCACAAATATACTTCGACATCACCAGATTCCCAAACAAGAAATCAAATCGATTACGTCGATTACGCCACTTAACATAAGTGGCAAAATAATATAATTAATGTAAGTTCTTATCACAGGGCAGAATGTTAATTAGATCATGAATTAGTAAACACCAACCTTTGACATAAACATTAGAGTACAACAGTGTTGAACATGCAGAGAAATTTAGGATCTACGATAACAAGATAAAATGATATTGAAGAGGAAATTAAGGATAGGTTAAAGGGAGGATATGCTTGCTATTTTTCAATTGAGAAACTACTTAGCTCACGGCTGCTGTCACGAAACTTTTTACATGAAAGAATTTACTAAACCATTATTATTTTTACAGTCCCTTATGGATGTGAAACGTGGCCACTTACTTTAAGGGATGAGCAACGTCTTAAGGTTTTTGAAAATAAAGTATTGCACAGAATATTCGGAACGAAGAAGGATGAGTCAACTGGAGAATTTAGACAGTTACACAATGTTGAATTGAATTATATAATTAAGATTATTAAGTTGAGGCGTATAAAATGGGCTTGTAAAATCGCCCATGAAAAAATTCCTAAAAGTTGTTATGCGCCGTGCTGCCTGGCAAGTGTTCGAGGGGTAGGCCGAAGCGAAGGTGGAAAGATTGTGTTAAGTCTAACCTCGCAGTGTTTGGTTTAGACTGTGCCCAGTGGATAGAAGAATGTAGACATTGATATGTGGTATCGGCATCGAACCTTAGGGTTCGCTAAGCCTTATTATTATTATAAAATTTATATCTTAATAATGAAATTAAAACCATTATGTGGGAAAAGAGAGAAACTCTTATTAGATTTTTTTTTAATTTATTATTTAATTATTATGATTTATATGATTGAGATGGTTACCTTGCTTGACAATTAGTTGGAAAAAATTTTAGTGACCCAACATGTGGACTTTTTCAGAATTAAGGTGATGCTATTACTCTTTTGGATCCAGGACTCTTTTCTTTTGAGGCCATAATATCCTGTAATAGCTACTATTCATAGAGATTTATTTTTTGGTGTCCTTAGGTGCACATCACCTGTTTGTAATAAGATTCTCTTGTTCCTCCAGAAGAACTGTTTGGGGTTTATTCTGCTAATGGCTCTACTGTGCTTTAAGAGTGTTCACAGAACAGTGTCTCATGTGTGACCCCAGGTGTTCATCCTAGCAGGAAGAGCACCTCACACAATCTCTGACCTTAATGACAAGAGAAAGCTTTATGGATCTAGAATGAGGATGAAGATCAATGAAGACCACAGGAGATAGAAGAGGATTCTCCATGTGAATACACTTGATGATAGAACCATTTTTTTGTTTCTCCTTTTTGGCTATCTGGAGTTTTTCCCAGAGCAGGAGAGAGGGCAAAGATGCCAGAAATTAATACCATTAATGGGGATTAATGTCAGTATTAAAAGTCTCCCGTCATCAGGATTTGAATCCATAATTTTCAGTTTATCGGGATACCACACTCCACTGCTTTTGCAAAGGTATTAGCCCATTCAACCATCCCACCCAGATCAATTTTAGTATATATACTTGCTTAGGTGGTACATATGCTAAAATTGATTGATGGATTCAGCAGTGTGTGACGACCTCAGGAAAAGCTAATGTGAGGAAGTACTTTCTCTCTGAGAGATGAAAATACTAATTACATGCATCCACTTGACTATTGAGCACCCCAGCTTCTCACAGTGTATTAAGCCTTTAAATATTTCCAGAAAAAGAAAATCAATCA